AGATTAAGATCGGACATTAGACAATTTTATGATGGAAGCATTAATCAACAAAATATTTACAAAACAAAAAACTAGCAAAGATTTATAAAAACCAAAAAAAAAAGATCTGGTGTTAAGTAAAACTTGTGCAGAAAAAAAATACGTGAGGTTAGAGACTGCAGAGCATGAAAATTTACGTTCAATTTAAATTATACAGCAAACAAAATTACTGGGGCTAAAATTGTGAGATAAAGAAAATTGTATGAGGTGAAAAATTGCAAAGCTAACAAAATTACATGAGGCTAATATTTTATGTCCATTCGAGTTATTGTTTAATTTTCAAAAGTGAAGTTATTCAGCTGCATTGTGGGCCATCGTTTTACATTCCCCCAGACGAACAAACACACAAAAACATAGCAGACAATCTGAAGGTTCAAAATGGCGTCGAACGAATGCGTCGTTAAAAAAAAAAAATGCGTTAAAAATATGTTTCCCAAAAATGTGATCAATCCTGTGGCGTTATGCAAATAATGGTCTAACTCAAAGGAATAAAATGCACGTCCTACATAACTCACAATGTTGTTAATTTGTTCAACGAGATTTTACAGTTCAAACATGTGCTCGGTTTGAAAATACTGTTTCAACATGGCCGCTGCCAGAATAAAGAATTTACCTGATGTTAAATTATGCCACACTTATCAACGATTCAAACATAGAATTTATTATGTTAAATGATCCCTTGATCCAACTGACTAGTTACTTAAAACCATTAGCTTTGAGAGTTTATATCGTGCACTATCCCCAGCTTATCCCAAACAAACACATGATAAATAAACAACACAAAATGTACCCGGCGTTGCGAGGAATATGCGTCTCGGTGATGTAATTTTCAACGTTGCGAGAAAATATATCTCGGTGATATAGCTTTCCACGTTGCAAGAAAATATCTCAATATCTTGATGATGTGATGATGATATAACTTGACGGTTACTGTACCTCAGTCTACGATATTATGAATTCTACCGCACTTTCACGGTCTTTTCCCAGAGTGGAGCAACGTTGATTTAACTGCCGTAAATGAACTATTAGCAATCTTGTGTGACGAATTAAGAAGTGTTAAAATGTAACACTTAAGTGTAAGCATCCAGAAACGTTATTCATAATTAAATAAACAAAGAATGAGTCCTGACTAAGTGAATTTCATGAAATCTCCTAGCAAATGCTCTACCTAAATATTCTCCGGACCGTCAAATTGTGTTAGACTTAGTTAACGATTAAAATCCTAACATGAACTGTGAATTCACAAAGAATAAAACCAATTTACAACACGTGTTCGCGTCGATCGAAAATTCGCATATTTCCTCTTCGAAAGCCGCAAAAATTAGCTACGCGTGTTGGGGAAACTGTGGCGTCGTCGTGGTTACGATTAAGTTTCGTTAAACGAAGGCTTTCCCTTTTTTATTAACTACCAAACCAATTAACCTAGTTAATTCACCAAACCAACAGTGGCGTGCCACCTACTCTCTACCAAATAAGTAACCTTCGCTACCAATCCTCACTAGATACTACCAAGAAAATCTCTAGGAGCTACCAACTATCAGAAAAGAACTAAACGTGCACATTGTCGCCTATGTTTAACGATTTTCTTGATTCAATTTCTTTTTCAAATTCAAATTATTCAAATGCGATTTCGCGCCGCTGTTTTTTTTCAGCGCGAAATTTTAATTCAAATCTGGTCACCACAATACACATTCCAATATTCATATTTTAAAACTTATGTCATCTATCAATATATATATTCCAGTGGCGGCTCGTGACTGTCTGATGTGGTGAGGCGATGATAGAAGTTTGACAATAATAGTAATATTACTTGGTCATACTAGTTAGTAATAATAGAAGTCTTGCCTGAATACCGGTCATTCCCGGGTCAGTGGTAGGTCCCAATAATAATAATAATAATAACACTGTAACGAAGCGAATTTTCGCGGGCCGGAAACCGTGACGCGTACCGCGAGAGCCGGGGGTAAATTCGCGATCGCCGCGCCGCCGCGGCGGAAGAAGAGGACTCTTGCCTAAAACTCCAAGGAGTGCGGAAGTGCTGGGGCTGTTTGAGTGATTTTTGATGATTGAGAAGCGAGAAGAGTGCATTTCGACCCTCCGACCACCGTAAGTACCTTTTTGGGTCGTCTGCCCGTGTTAGTACCGGTTTTGGAATCGCCGCTCCCGAGCGAGAAACCGTGTCACCGTCACCGCGTTTTTTTTTGTCACCGTCGAAAGTCGACACCGTCGTACACGCGTCGTTACCGTCACCGCGCTCCCCTCCCGGGTCGCCGTACCGTCTTCGCGCGATTTCCAGATCTCAAGGTCGCCGCCCCTAGAGTCAGAAGGAGGCCGTCCTGAGGGAAGTTGCCGCCCAGGAGGAACGACCGTGCCGGACGTTTAATTCTTTTTTTGTTGTAAAACCGTTTGTTAGCTATTTAAGTTGTTTAGCCGTAGTTTTATTATTTTAGACCGTGTAGCTGGTGGCAGGGAATAAACCCTATTTTTGTTATAACACATCCTCGCCGTTTTATTTATTATTCTCGAGTTTTCGCGGCGGCTCACCACCTGAATTCTGTGTCTCCGGCTTTAGAGCACCCCGGCGCTCCCTCCCCCGGAGAGGGAGCTGGCGCCCGAGCGACCGCCGCTCCTGACCGAAGGCGCCACCCCCGGCGGCGTGAAGGTAGCCGCATAAGCTTGGTCGACCAGACGTGTTTCTGACATCAGCGATACTAGTCGACCCAAAGCTTGGCACTCAAGTACGCCGCCACCCCATACGTTATCGGCGAGATTTCGGACCGTCACCGGACCGTCCGTCCCTCTCATCCGGAATTTCGTCGCAACACCCATAACACATTGAATCAACAATGTTTTTACAAGTCAAAGTTTTGTTGAAAGTAGCACTTTCTTGGAGGGATTCGGGAATAGTTGTTGTGTTCTTTTCTAAACGTTTTAAGCCCATGAAATTTTTAATGTGTACTTTGGAACTTTCATGTAATTTTGCACTTCGGATGAAATTCTTTAAATCGTTATATCCCGGGATGTTGTGTAAATATTACGGCAGAGCCATTTATGTTTCGTAGGTACCAAGTTGATTTAAAAAACTTGGAGTACTGACGATTCTGTCGCTTATCAATGGAAGTTAAATGAATTGACGGTTTTGACTGCTCGATATTTAGCAAAATTTGCCGACGTTCTAGCTCGGTTCGCCGTGAAAACGGCGTTTCAAGAAGCAACATGACGATATCGTAATCGGGATTCATTTTTCACTCACCTGTACCTATGAAAGAGACAATGATACAAAACACCAACACGTGGCTTTTTATTCACGTTCATGCTAATTACCCACGCACCCCGCAACCCTACCGTTCTGTAAAATAAATGGAAAAATGGTTTCATGAGTACGCCGAAATTGGCCGAGAAGCACCGAAGATATCGCCTCAGTTCCGAGCGAACGCATGTATAGGAGTATAGGAGCTGAGCCATGGAAATCCTTGTCTGTGATTGGGCTTCGCTGGTTCAAGTGAACCGACGTTCTGGCCGCTTCAGTTAAAGAACTAGGGGCATAAATCATACTGTATTCAACGAAAAATGTCAGCAGGAAGCGTAAAAAATAAAAAATCATGTACAGATTTCCCATTTCAACACATTTTTGTAACTAAAAATGCATTGAAAACTCTTTTTAAATTATAAATTAAGTCAATCTGTTCTTAAGATATATGCTGTGAGGCGCCGCCTCACTTGCCTCATCTGACGAGCCACCACTGATATATTCTTATTATTCGCTTTTCTTATTCATATCCACACATTCAACAATTATTAATAGATAGAACAAAGCTCATTTATTTTGTATCCCTAAAATAATTCCTCCTCCATTGTTTTCGTACTGTAGAATAGCAAAATTGACTTTATTAGACATTTATTACTAATTAATACAACTTATAACAAACATGAGTAACAGTAACGTGTTAAATTGGTTTTAACGCAGGCTAAGCGAGCAGCTTGTCTTAAATTTGCGAACTAGATCTGGGATTTACTTCCTGGTGTGTCAGTTCAGTAACAGGAAACTTGTAAGTAGTACCAACTTTTCTGTTCGGTGGTAGTACAGTCTTATTCGATGAAAAAGCGTACCTACAGTATATTGTACACGTTCTTGTCAGTGACAATTTAGTGACACGATTTATCAAAAAAATCCATCTAATAATAATTAATTAGTCGAAAAGGACAATTCTGAATCAAACCTGTTAAAATTTAAATGTTGTAAAAAAATAAACAACCAATGAGATTTACAAAATTAACTCGTTAACTATGGAAATTTGCAATTTTGACACCCTTTAAATTTAACAAGTTTTTACATTATCATCAATATAATCAATTACAGTTTGCAAGTATGCCTCAACATTTGACTCTCCTCAAAAATGTTCATATCATAACGCGACTGTAAGATGGTTGGTCAATTTGAGTTGTTGCGGTAATTACAAATTAAACACAAGTGCAATTTTAAGAATTAATCCGGGACAGCAGACAGACTGACAGACGAACAGACAGACGGAAACGGGAGACCTATTTCTTCGTCTTCTAGGGGTCATGAAAGGTCAAGAAAATATAAAAGTACAGAGTCGGACGACGGACTCGATTAGAATACTGCCTTTGCTTACGCTCGGGAAGTAATAAGAGGTCCTCTTGATCAGAATTTTAATTAGACACCCACTACATAAAAGAGTAAATTTTAACGTGAAAAAATACAAAATATTTAGTTGTATTGTGTTGCATATTATGTACAAAAATGTTTGACTGTTTAAAAAATCAGAAACTTTGTTTCAGTAAAATAATAACAAAATTCATGACAGCTGCGCAAATTATATTCATTGTATTTTCCTGGTTATTTTGAAAATGAGAGTAAATAAAATTTATCATTGGTAAATAAATTAAGATTAACTCCATCTATCGCGGCAACGCCCAGTCACTGCAGCTCCCTCTCTTTGTTTACCTTTCGTTTGACGTTGGTGCCGGTTTGACAGCTGGCGATTTGTTTGCCCGTAATGACTTGTTTAAATTCATGAAAATAAATTGAATAAGTGGCGTAAATTGTAATTCCTACCATGAAATAATTTATTTCATTTAACCCCGTGACCCGGCACAGTGAACAACGAAGTGCTAGCAACAATAACAACATAGAAACAACAACCAGTATTCATAGATAACAGTCACAATTTCGATCTCTGATAAGTTATCACAATGTTGTGTGTGCCCGACAACCCCACCATCTAACTCCCATTATAGTCGCCTTCCGATGAACGCCCCAAGAGATGTAACGGCGACAAACATGTATAGGTTAAAAGTGTACAAAGGCATCTTTTGCTTTATCCTTCTCTTTGACTTAGTCCTAAGTGAGCAAGTGCGTTCTCACCAAAAACCCCACTAACTGTCTTGTTTTAGGCAAAACCTGCAGCACAGGCGATCTCACTCGCCACCCCCAGTGCCACGAAACCCAACTTTGTGACGGCAGGACCGGCACCTGTCAGTGCCAACCGGGCTTTGAACCGCACAATGACACGTTCTGCATCAGTGTGAATCCCCGCAGTTCGCGAGCTTCAACACCAAACACTTCTAGCCTTGTAGCGAGCCACAACAGTGGCTCGATTGTTGCCGGAATCCTCATTCCATTATTTTTAATACTTTTTGTGATATATGCAGTGTATGTTAGTAGAAAGTATAAGTTAGTGACGTGGTTTAGGAGGAAGATCCACCAAAGAAACAACAACTACGACGAATTTATGATTGGACAAGAGCAGGATCTAGAGGATGATGATCCACCTCTTCGCTAAGATGTGCCATACAACACTTTCTCTTTACTGTTAATGTGAATTAGGTTCTTGATTCCGAATTCCACTTTGCCATCAATGTATGCCTATACCAAAGCTCTTATATTTGTAATCTTAATCAATAAATTAATTTATTACTATTAGAGGTGGGTTTCTGTGTTAATATAATTGTCAATGATGATTCTTGAGGGATTACAAAATAAAAATAACATTCTAATAGCAGTCCAAAATCAATATAGCTGAAAGCCACTCGTCGTTTAATAATTTACAACTTCATTATTATTTTCGTATACTAAATTTTACATTTGACCTTTCGTTTAGTAAAATATTGAAACGAATCACCGACTTAAAATTCACGTCATTTCGTATTTACGCGAAGTAATTGATTTTCCTTGCCTCGAAAGCAGAACAACTACTTCTAAAAACTTCGTTTAGTCGATAAACTTTGGCGATGATGTCATCACTTTTTACCGACGCAAGTAACAATACACATAGGTTACAGTAAGGTTTCGATCATTGGTAAATTGAAAATCTATAAAAGACATAACAAACCATTTATCCTTGTTAAGTGTTAGATTATTCAGTTTACACCAATCAAGTAAACGATTAAGATTGTGTTGAAGAATATCACAGTCTCTTGCACTATAAACTTCAATAAACAGTTTAAGATCGTCAGCAAAAATCAGTTTTTCAGTAATTAACAATGTCATTAATAAATATTATGAACAATAAGGGTCCTAAATTGGACCCCTGTGGGATACCAGAAGTCGGAGAGATGGAATTAGAGCGAAAATTACGATATATAAAAACTTGCTGTCTATTCATTAGATATGACTGGAATAATGTGATCAAGGGATCTGAAAAACCATATTGCCGTAACTTGTCTAATAAATATACATATAATGGTCAATTTTATCAAATGCTTTACAAAAATCCGTACCTATAAATTGTATCCACTTGACCACGATTATTAATGGATTCAGAAACGAATTGTGAAAAACATGAAGATTAGTTACAGTAGATCTTTTTTCAACAAATCCATGTTGATAAGGAGTAATAAATGGTTTAACAGTAGAATAAATTCGTTTGTACAATAATGATTCAAATAGTTTAGCAAAGTTGCACAACAGACTAATAGGTCTGTAATTCTGAACATAGGTCACATCTCCTGATTTAAATACCGGACAGATGTTAGATGTTTTCCAAATATGAGGTATTGAACACTGTTTTAAAATGCAGTTGAATATTTTTGAAAGTGGGGTCACTAAAATATTTACACAATCCAAAAGTAAAAAACTAGGAATACCATCAGGGCCCGCCGTAAAAGAATTTTTAGATGATTTTAAAGCTAGAAAAATATCGTGTTCTGAAAAGGAATCACAAGAAACAAAAAGCTGGGGAGCTAGTTTAAGATTCGTTGATGGGCAGCTGCTGGGATCAGATTCAGAGTAGGTAAACACTCTTGAAATAATCAGCGAAAGCAGTGACTATCATATCAGGAGAAGTTAATTCCGTGTTATTGTAACGCAACATAGTACCCGGAATTCTTACCATTTTTTTTACTTTGAATAAAGGACCAAAACTTTTTTGGGTCATCTGTAATCTTGGTTTCGATCTCCGCAGTATATTTCTTATAAGACATTTATAATTAGACGGATTTGAACAAATTATAGAAATAATTAGATTTGTATTTTTATATATAACATGAATCTTATCTTTAGTTTTTAAAGCAGTTATTATTACTTTATTAAACCAAGGTGGATATTTGTGACGACGGATACTATTATATTTAATTTTTGGTACCGCTAAATCAAATATTTGAAATAACTCTTTGTAGAATAACGAACAAATCTGATCAACATTAGAGCAAAAGTCGAGAATGTTCCAATCACAGGACGTTAGTTTTTCATATAGCAAGGGATAATTAGCTTTTTTGAAACTGTATTGTTCAATGGCATTCTTATTAAGAGAAAAGACCTTAGGGGTTTGATCGTTGATGTTAACTTTTATTAAAAAGGGTAGATGGTGAGCATCAATTTTATTGACAAGAGAAAAGTCAGCAGGTTCAACAAGGCAATTAAGATTAGAAAAGACTAAATCTAGGATTCTTTGGTGAACATTTTGTACAGAATTGAGTTGAGAAAGATTATTAAATGCTTGAAAATTGTTAAGGATGATAGTTTGATGATCGGAGTTATTAGCATTAACAATAAATTCTGCAGCATTAAAATCCCCATAGATGAAGATCTTCTTCAATTTTCATGAATTGATAGGTACTGATTATGTCAAAAAATAACTCAAAGTCATGCATAGATGAAGGTGAGGTTACATAGACTGCAAGAATGATAATACTTTGACCTTTGTGAATAATTTTCACACCTACAACATTAATACTCGGAACAATATTGTTAACATTTGAAAGATCCAAACCAGTAGATCGAATTGTGTCACGAACACCAATCAGAACTCATCCACCACGGGAAACATTCATAATTTGAAAGTCTTTGTCCTGTCTGTAAACTACAAAGTCATTAGGAAAAAGTTCACTCTCTATTATATCACTGTCTAGCCAAGTTTCAGTAATTGCTACAACTTCAATATTCGTATTTAAACAGAATATGTTCTTATAGAAATCCTTAACCTTTGTACGCAATCCTCGGACATTTTGATAAAAACAACAAAGAGGAGATTTATTATTTTGATAATGTGGCTTAATAATGTTTGAACATAATGGATTCTTTGTTAGAGAATAGGAGTGTAAACTACCAGAATTAAGTACAATTGATTGCTAAATGACCAGGCCAAATATGTCCTGTTTTAGTTTCGTAGTGATATTATTATGAGCACTGCATTTCTCATAATCCCAAACAGCATGATTGATATCTGTATCCAGGTTCTTATTTTTTTATATTTAAATTATTACAATTGACGCATTTTAAAGAGACTGATTCCTGATTACAATCTTTCAAGCCATGACTAGCGCCGTATCTAGGACAAGATAGAGGGTTTCTGCACTATTTAGATGAATGACCGAATGCATTGCAGTTAAAGCACCTAGTAATATCAATGGCATCATATATGGAACACCCATTTAATCCTATAAGACAGTGCCCAAGACTTATAGCTTTTTTATAAGGTATGTATGTAGGTCAACTTATAATACGGCCTGAAAGATTTCTTCATTTTTCTTTATAGTCAGTGTTGGGGACAGATACTTTTAAAAGTATCTAGATACAGATATAGATATATGGAAGATAAAAGTATCTAGATACAGATTGTTTTCGATTTTTTGGAAATGTATCTAGATACAGATACAAGAAAACAGATACTTTTTGAAGCTTTGGCGAATAAAATAACTGAAAACATGTTTATGTATTTTTTTATGTATTGTTTAATGAATTTTTTAAAATTAACAACATTTCGAACGTATTGTCACCTAAATTATTTCTTCTTGATGTCAGAATTTGTCACCCGTTCCACAGGTGCAGAAGAAGGGATTGTGGTATTAAATTTAAAAAATAAACATTTTACTGTAGCATAGTTATTCAAGACTGAAAAATCTTTTCTTTTTTCCTGCAAATAGGCCATCGCTTCGCTGTTTGATGTGTCGCAAATTGTGCAATATTTATTACGTACGCTTAAAAAGAATATTTTTTTTGTTTTTATTCCCATACTAGGTACAGTGTCCAAATTGTGTTTGAGTATATCTAATAATTATCTCCAGCATTAAAATTAATATTTCAAAAGAATACGGGAAATGATTATTCTGTGCTGAAGGTCTGTTGTCCGCAACCTGTCATAAATTATTATTCTCTCAATATCGGCTTACGATGTTTTTATGACCATGTCCGGTAATCGTCTATCCCGGTGCGGCAGGTACATACATTTTAGGAAGAATGCTGGTTCCGTTTAAGGCAAAATAAGTACAATTTCTTAGAAAGGTATTTAAACCCCTTATAGGATCAAATGCTGCCTGGCAGGCCGGAATCACCAGACTGCAACTTTAAATTTTCGGATTTTTGTTGAAACTCATTTTATTTTAATCTCGTTTCACGATTTCTGAGAATATATCACGATAAATTATTCTACCGAGGGTTGTAAAAATATTAATTTTATTGCTCAAGATAATTACACTTCAACATAATCGGCACATTCTAGGGCAAAACGGACCTGCCAAGCTCGCCTCGCGTTAGGTCCAACAATGAAAAAGTGAAGAAATGACACATGTGGCAACAGGAAAAGATGCTACATTTGTCTGAAAAATAAAGGTATAAAACAGTGACAAATATGCGATTTATGCGAGAGAAATGTATGTATTGAACATTCGATTAGTCGATTACAGAACTAATTTGTGCTAATTGAAAAAATTAATCATTATGTAACACGCAATTATTATTTTCTAAAAATAATAACATACCTTAAACAAATATTTTTACTATTAAAATTACTCTTATTTAATAACACAAATACAACCAGCGGGCCTACCGGACCCGGGTTGCTCAGGTACACAGATCAAATGCATGATAAAACGCAGTGAATAGTGAATTGTGGTTTATGGTTTTTAAAATACCATCTTACCATGGCTTAGATTTATTACCCCTCTGGGTTATATTTAAAGATGTATAAGTACTGAAAGCTACAATGTAGGAAATTATGTTATTTAAAATATGAAAATTTCCGTGACAGAACACTATTAGTGGACCTCTTACCGCTATTTTTGTTTATGTGAAAAAAATCACCAACATGAAGTATCAAAAATTACTACTAATATAACTCAACTAATAACTACTTAAAAAAAGTGAAATAAAAAAATGTATCTGTATCTGCGCCATTAATTTTGTATCTAGATACAGATATTTTGTGCTTAAATTCGATTATACCTAGATACAGATACTAGATACCCAAAAATGTATCTAGATACTTTATTTAGATACAAGTATCTAGATACTGCCCAACACTGTTTATAGTACTAAATTTCAATACCTTACAAACTGCACCCTCACCGAAAATAGAGTCGTTTTGCTTCTTCATACAAGAAACTAGGTCGTCTTGATCAACATTTTTGGGAATTCCGGAAATTCTGATGCGGGGTCCCGGTGTTTTGATTTCACGTACTTCATATACATCTGCTAATTTATCTTTGGTGACTTTCTTAAATAAGGTAGGGTCATTACACTTTACGAGCAAACGGCCATCTTTAAATGTTTTAACTTTGCCGTCTTTGTTGTCTTTCAGAGGGTTTACAATTTTGATTACATCGGATTTAGTTTTAGAAATAGTCTGCTTGTCATCTTTGGGTTTAACAATAATTGTCGATTTTGAATTCTTACTAACCAAGCTAGCATTGGAAATTTTAGCCGATCTGTCTTCTAAATCAACATGAGTGGAATGATCAGCAACATTCCCAGACAAAACATTGTTTAATTTAGTTATCTCAGCACGTAAATAACTATTTTCTTTGACTAAATTTTGCACATTGTCTTTAAGTTCGTAAATTACATCAATAAGAGGTTTTAACTGCTGTTGCACAATGCTGTTACTGTTAAGATTTTTTAGAGCATCCGTTGACATATTAATCCCAGTAGCTTCCCCAGCTTCCAGAAGAATGGAGCAGAAACTACATTTTCAAGACGACAGCTTGGACAGTTTTAATTGGTCATATTCTTCTTTACCAGCATTAGCACATTCTGAATGAAAATAAGATTTACATGTGTTACAAGACAAGTGATTGTCAGTACGTCCAATTGTATTACTCCATTTAGAACACTTGATCGCCATCTTTTAAAATAACAGTGCTATTCAGTTACACTCAACCCGCATAGGGTCAGATAACGTTCAAGAATAAAACCCAACAACCAACAACGATAAGGTATTATCAGAGGAAGCAAAAACCAAAGAAATGAATCGAAAAAGTTCAACCAAAAAACGAAAATAAATGCCAATAAAGGCACTACATTAAATTATGTTATTATATTTACTTATCTTAGATTAGGTGTAGAAGCCAGCCAAATCACGCACAATTCCAAAAAATCCTTCAAAAAACACTCCAAAACGAAAGAGCACACACACACACGTCCGCACCGTGCCGCGGTTCGAATTATTTATTTTATTAATTTAACTAGTGATCGTTATTTTATTTAAAAAAACATTACTGTTGACACACGATGTATAAATTAGCTAAAAAAGAAACAAATAAAACTAATCACTCGTGAAAACATACTTTTTAGTAGTTTTTGGGAAATATTTCAGGCTGGTCAGTTTTTTTTCCCGGTCAGTGTACATTGATAAAGACGACCACAGTTCTCTTGCATTTATAATATCGTTTTTGTAGGTTGATAGGGTGGCAACTGGCAATTTATATCAAAATAATGACCAAACAAAAGGACCGACGTAAGATAATTTTGTAACGTTAGGTTTAGAAATTGTGTTTAACACGATTGTTTTAAAATACAATTTTATTTTGGGTAAATTGCTACGTGCAATAACTAGAACGCGAAATATTGACGACTTCTCTAAAAATTCTAAAACCATTAAAAACATGTACCTAGGAACTTTTGTATTCCAACCAAAATAGACAAATAACATTTATGGTCAACAATAACACTTAGAAATATTTTTATTTTACCACTAATTCACTAACATTATCTTTTACGTTTTCTTGGAGAAAGAGACACAGCTGGTGGTAGCGGTATCTTCAAAATCATCACATTTTTATCCTTACTATGTGCACTGAATGCCAAAATTCTACCCATTTCTTGAAGTTTCTTAACACCCAACTTAATATTCTTGGAAAGAGCCTCCATATTCACTTGATAATCAAGGGCTATCATTAACAATACAACCATGTAACATATAGTTTTGTCCCTCATTGACAATGGTCGGGTTCTACAAAAACCATCTTAAGAATTAAAAAATAAATAAATAAAATTATAAAATGTACCTCCCCGTGTTGGAAACTACAGAAAAGTTATCTAAAATGTGACTATTCACATCAACTGATGACTGACAGATTACAAATTTCTTTGTAATAGCTTTAGCTGGCTTATTAATGAACTTCATCAAATAATCAACATAAAGTAAAATTTTTGCTGTACCTATTACACTATCAGAGGTCGAATTTTGCAGTTCCGTTAGTCGCTCTTTAATAAATGGAGTCAACCTAAAATCACACATGTCAAAAAAATACACTTAGAAACACACACAGACAGACTCTATATTATCCAAATCTGAGGACAACGCATTTGTAGCTTCTTCTTCTAAAGAATCTAAAACATTTTCTGGCACTATGTCATGTAAAACATACACTTGCTCTCTTGTTGAAGCATCTCTATTTATCGGAGGTCGATACGCGCTATCATTTTCTGCTGATTCAACTACAAATGACTCAGAGCCCGTAAAATTGACACCTACAAGTGGAGAAGTAAAGAAAAGAAAAATCAAATCACACAGTAAAAACTCACTAGCTACTGTTTGTTCCAACTGTTCTTGCACATCTTCAATGTTCATTTTTAACCTTTCCCTTTGTTCAGTAATACGTTTAATCTTTTTAGAACCAAATTCCTTATTTAGTTGGCTTATGGAATTATTAGGGTTAAGCGTTGAACTATCTGTGACATCGCTGGATTTTTTTGGCTGGCACTGGGGGGTTACTACAGCTGTGTCTACTGCCACCAGGCGCACCTAAAAAAAATTTTTAGCGAGTGATAACACATAATTACCCGCACCTTTCCGGTTTTGCGATTCGAAATTAAAAGAAACCGATTATTTAAATCGGCTGTCTCATCGTCTTTAGTGATTTCACCAGTGTACAATATATTTTTTGTGGCTACCCCGACGATTGTTGTTTTTGGGGACTTTTGGTATATCCCGGTGTGGAGCTTTCCTTCTTCGCCTTCTTGTAATTCACTGTTTTGGAATTGGACTGAAAAGTACGATTTTTTGTTATCATCTTGGGAAAACGGGGAAAGTCTCACTGATAACGGGTCTTATTCCGTCTTCGTTGTCTTCGATTTCTGATACAGCATGCACCATTTTAAGGGAACAAAAAAATGTGGTATAATTTAAAATAAATAGAGGCGCCTTGAAAAATTGCACAAATTCCTCATGGAAAACTAACCTAAAAATGTTGTTTTGTTTTTAAATGTGTCGGCAATGTGGCAGATTATTTTACCGATGCGTATATTGTGTTGCCTAACCATCAATTACAAAGGAATAACAACGGATAAGGTACTGTAAAAATGAAGTCTCATATGATACCGTAAAACTCGATAATTTTGAAAACGTTTATTTATGTGGTAAATGTAGTTAATTTTTATTTTGTTCTTTCCAAATATTAACTGTAAACATTTCTATACTCTTTTCTCAAGTGAAAATAATTGTGTTTTCAATTTTATCGTTAAAAAACGGCCATTTTACTGTGAGGTATATGTAACTCCACTGAGTCACAGTAGAACTGAGTATTCAAAGTACTCACATTTTTTAATTGAACTCTAGATTTTTTTAGTAGTTTGTTTCTTTAAAAAATCATCTATTGTCTTTGCCATTTCTATTGAAACACCATCTGTTGATTTTGCTTCAAATTTAGCAATTGGTAACAGCTTTCAGTTGATTGACAATGGCTTTTAGTTAGAAAATTGTCTGAATATGAACGTTGCCAAATTTACGATTAACAAGTGATGTTTCAATAGAAATGGCAAAGACTATACTTTGCATAAGTTATAACCCAAACATTCCGCCAAACATTAAGACATGAACACAAAATTTTGAAAACCCGCAAAAACTTCGAAAAGTGGCCATGAACTGTGATCGTCAACAAGATAGGACCCTCCGTTGTGTTCTGAAATGGCGGAATGTGTTCTGATGCAAAGTGGCGCAATGCGGAGCGGGAAGAGTGTAGGAAGTCAAAGTCAGCATTGAAGGGAAACATCTTTTATTCAATTTTTGTAAAAGTGATTATAATTGAAAAAAATCTTTAGTATTACATGTAACAAAACAAATGGCTGAAAAGGTGGTTTCTCTTCTGGCAAGGCTTATGGGTAAACTCCGAGTCCACGGTAGCGGAAATATGGAATTACGGGTAAACCTTCACACAAAGTCGCCCCGACACCCCGCCTACGCCCCACGCATTTATTTTAGTTAAACTTAAAATTTCCTGAATTTGGCAATGTCAACGGGAAACACATAATTTATGTCACTCTGTCAACAATTCAAATAAAGAATTTACATGATGTTAAATTATGCCACACTTTATCAACGATTCAAACAAAGAATTTACATGATGTTAAATTACACCATAATCCAAGTGACTGGTTACTTAAAATAATTAGCTTTGAGAGTTTTTATCGTGCACTGCCCCCAGCTCATTCCAAACAAACACATGATAAATAAACAAAAAATGCATCCCTCGTCGCAAGATTACGTCTCGGTGATGTCCGGATGATAACTGCTTAAGGGGAGAAAAATGAATCCCCCTGTCCCTCAGTCCACAATATTATGAACTCTCTCATTTTAGGGTGTGTTTGTACACGTCATTTTTGCTGTTATAGTATGTTCAGTACATACTATATGCTGGTTTTGAGTTATTTGAGGTATAATTAAACTTTCATCATCAGTCAAAAAATACAAAGTGGTATCCAGAAGAGAAAATTTAAAATTCATAGGAAACAAAATCTTAAAGATATTTTAAAGAAAATTAGAGACATTTTTAATTTCTGAGAAACCTAACGTAAAAAAAACGTTTTGAGAGAAAGTTTAAAGTAATAATAAGAAGCTCAAACTTAATTTTATTTGAATTTCAAAAAGAACCCAGAAAAGTGCTAATTTCTTAATTAATTATTATTATTAATGGGAAAACAGATAAAGATCCGTTATATTCAATACGACGCAAAATTGTCTTCATATGTAGGTCTTACTTTGGATGGTGTCCACGTCCATTTCTCTAACTTTCTGGTAATTTGTTCTTCTAAATTGGCTTACCAGCCGTTGTTGTAAACCTTTCTACTTAGTGTTGCCCAAATTTTGTTTTCGATTGTTCGCCCTGGGGGTACTATGGGGGGATTATCTTAGGTACAAAATTTATATTATTTCTTTCTAACCAATCCCTAGACATTGTAATATAATGGCATCTTGCTAAATCTGGCCAAAATATTACATCGTCGTTATTATGGTGTTCCCATATATTGTTATGTATTGACCGCGTCACTTCTAATACGGCCAATGAATGGTGCTGAACCGCCAGCCGAAAATATAGCCCATCAAACCAAAATTTTATCTTCAAACTTTGTCTTCGACTTAGTTTTATTTGTAATTTCTTCTATATTGTTTGTATAAAATCCATCCTTCCATCTCTGAATAGGCAAACGTAAAATATTTTTCATCGCCCAGCACAACCACACGATTGTTAAAAAAATGATAAATTCTCAATAGCCGCCAACATCTGAGAATTCTCTCTAACTGCGATGCTGTATGTTTTGAACATTTAGCTCTTTTGCTGCCTCTCAAATTGTGGCTCTGTTTCTGTTATTTTGTTAAATTAAATTTAATTCTGTGTTTGCTTGTCTTCGTTTTTTTTGCTAATTTATACATCATGTGTCAATAGTGAATAGTTCTTTAATGAAATAACGATCACTAGTTAAATTAATAATTTTTAAAGTTTGGTTTTGCGAAATTTTTCAGGGTGGCCGGTTTTTTTGCCGGTCAGTGTATATGCATTAAAATAAAGTTATAAAAGGTAACAAAACAATATTTTTCATAATTAACAATGCATATTAAGATCATTAGTTGTAGGAATTAGCTCGGTTTGCGCGAAGGTGGAGATAACACGACGACCGTCGCAACGAATCTTAACCAATTAAAAACTCAAGTAAATTTGCTCCTGCTGCTTTTATATGCTTTCTTATGAAATTATTTTTGTTTTATGTCTAGTATCCCGCAAACGCTTTCGAGCACGCCACTGGGACAACCAGTTTTTCGGAGGACCTGGAAGAACCATTTATGACCCTAGTAGAAAGCGCGGTACCAGGCATTTTTTCAAACTATCTTCCCTCCTCTCATTCTACCTCTATGGTGCGCACCTACTTTAGAAATATGTACTGTCTCTTTATATGTGTCTAAAATTTGTCTGCTACTTGTACTTTAAATGAATGTGAAGTATCAATCATTTTTACTTCCCGAGCGTAAGCAAAGGAAGTATTGTAATCGAGTCCGTCGGCCGACTCTCTACTTTTACGTTTTCTCGATCTTTCATGACCCCTAGAAGACGAAGAAATAGGTCTCCCATTTCCGTCTGTCTGTCCGTCTGTCCGTCTGTCCGTCTGTCCGTCTGTCCGTCTGTCCGTCTGTCCGTCCGTCTGTCCGTCTGCCGTCCCGGATTTTTATTAGACAGATAATCTCCGAAAGTACTCGACCGATTGTTGTGAAATTTTGCACTTATATTAAGAATATCATGTAGATGGTAAAACGCTAACCAAAATTTGTCTAATCATCCCCACCACTAATGCGATGACGTCACTTCAAAATTGTACATAGTAAATGGGTTTTCAATTGTATAAAATAACATAGTCCTACACATGTAGTTTACAACTCTGAATCGACTTTTCACCCGAAACGTCCAGATTTTTGGAAAAAAAATCAAAATTATAAAACAACATTTTGAAATTTAATTTTTAATCTGCTAACCAGAATGCTTTGAAATGTTGCAGATGTTTTAAGGCTATAAAGAGCATCATAAATCTTTAGTCAAAAAATATTTGCTTATCCCCTCCAAAAACTTGAGGACGTCAGCTCGAAAGTTTGCCGAATAAATCATATCTAAAATGTACAAAATATGATGAGTCTGTACTTGTGATCTATCACTCCATTCATATTTTTTGGATTTGCATATACAGGGTGACTCAAAAAAATTAATGAATGCGTAAATTTATTTTACTGATTTACTCAGAAACTACAAAACCGAATGCTTTGAAATCTTGCAGATGTTTTAAGGTTATAAAGAGCATAATAAATGTTTAGTCAAAATATATTTGCTTATCCCCTCCAAAAAATTGATGACGTCAGCTCGAAAGTTTGCCGAATAAATCCTATCCAAACTGTAAAAATATGATGAGTCTGTACTTGTAATTTATCACTCCATTCATATTTTTTGGATTTGCATATACAGGGTGACTCAAAAAAATTAATGAATGCGTAAATATATTTTATTGATTTAATCAGGAACTACAAAACCGAATGCTCTGAAATCTTGCAGATGTTTTAAGGTCATAAAGAGCATAATAAATGTTTAGTCAAAATATATTTGCTTATCCCCTCCAAAAACTTGATGACGTCAGCTCGAAAGTTTGCCGCATAAATCATATCTAAAATGTACAAAATATGATGAGTCTGTACTTGTCATTTATCACTCCATTCATATTTTTTGGATTTGCATATACAGAGTGACTCAAAAAAATTAATGAATGCGTAAATATATTTTATTGATTTAATCAGGAACTACAAAACGGAATGCTCTGACATCTTGCAGATGTTTTAAGGTTATAAAGAGCATAATAAATGTTTAGTCAAAATATATTTGCTTATCCCCTCCAAAAAATTGATGACGTCAGCTCGAAAATTTGCCGAATAAATCATATCTAAAATGTACAAAATATGATCAGTCTGTACTTGTGATCTATCACTCCATTCATATTTTTTGGATTTGCATATACAGGGTGATTCAAGAAAATAAATGAAAGCGTAAATTTATTTTACTGATTTACTCAGGAACTACAAAACCGAATGCTTCGAAATCTTGAAGATATTTTAAAATTATCATAAGCATGGTAAATTTTTGATCAAAATGTATTTGGTCGTCCCCCCTAAAAAATTTATGACGTCACCACAAAATTTTGCTGAATAAATCCAATGTAAAATGTACAAAATATGATGAGTCTGTACTTGTGATTTATCATTCCATTCATAATTTTGGATTTGCATATGCAGGGTGACTCAAAAAAATTAATGAAGGCGTGAATTTATTTTATCGATTTAATCAGGAATTACAAAACCGAATGCTTTGAAATCTTGGGAATATTTTAAAGTTATTATAAGCATGGTAAACTTTTGTTCAAAATGTATTTGTTCATCCCTCCTAAAAAAATTGATGACGTCACCCTTAAATT